GTTTCTCTGTGCTCATTGATAATCTGATTTTAAGTCGCAGGGCCTACAAGCACGATTTGTGACATCACAAATAGTTTGAAAGTCAGCTTATACAAGTGTGATGTAGAAACTTGCAGCCTCCAGTGCACATACATGGACTTTAGGAGAAACTTGTGTCCTACAAGAAAACTTTAGAAATTAAGTCTTCTCATGTTAAAGCTGGGGGGAGTAGTCCTAGGAGTACAGGTCATAAAGATTTGAACTGTACAGAAACATCTGTGCAAATGAGAAAATGCCTCAGCTATTATTCTAGCCATACTAGCCAGATGTTGATTAACATTACAAAAACATATGCATAAAAGCCACTGTTACGCTTTAGTATGTTTGCACTCTATCCACTGAACCTGACAAAATCTGTACATTATCTCTGATAACGATCAATTAAAAAAGAAACATTGAAAAATATTATTAAGGTGATTAAGGCTGATAAAGTAGCCATTTACCTAATTTGTATAATAAACCAACATTTTCTCTAATGACCAACTGAATCCAGGAGCAGCAACACAAATTATAAATGATTCTTCAGATTTTATTCTCAGATAATTTCTTCTCATCATCTTCTTCTTTTAACTTTGCCATCAGCATTTTGAATTTTTTGAAGTCATCATATTCCTTTGTTATAATCCTTCTATTTATTTCATCACTCTTACACATGCTCTCTCTCTCTCTCTCTCTCTCTCTCTCTCTCACTCTCTCTCTAAGCCTCACCTAACCCTAAATCCACACAAACAGACAGGAGTGCACTCTTGCAAGAGCACACACCCACTTTAAATTACATGATTACTTTAAAACAAAATCGCACACATGACCGACCCGCCTAACAAGCAAAGAGCTTTACACTGAGCGTTGCTCATGTAATAGCGGCTCTTATGCTTACTTCAGTTTGGAAGACCGCTGTGTTCTTCTCTATGTGTAATTTGGCAGCGAGGAGCGAAGACCTCCCCTTGGGATGGGGTTAATAAAGTGAAGCCACAGTTTTCATACAGCACCCTGACACCGGGCTGCTCCTACAGGGTGTTTGTATTGGTGTCAGGTGTCATTATATACTTTCATCCAGGATTTAATTCTGAAAGCCACCGAGAAAATACCCTAACAGTGGCAGAAGGACACTTCAGCCTATATATATACTGTATATATGAAGAGTTTTTTTTTTGTGTATTTTTCTGTTTAAAGTCACAAAGGCTCCAAACTGTAAAAGATATGACCTCAATAAGTAAAGTCATTCAAAGAAGTTACTGTAGTGTCTCATACGTCATTTTGTGCATATGCAGATTTATTCTACATTTATTGGTGCCATGCCAACAATTCAACAAATATGGATCTAAAACAACACTGATGATGCCTTCTTCAAGCGCATTAAAGGGCTGAACTAAATGCCATCCAGATACCAACTCAAATGTTTCTGATTACTAACAGAAACAGAAAATGCTATCAGCCTTTAATCAGCAGTGTGAATGTCAAATGTAGATTACACAGATGCAATCACCTTCCCCTGACGCTGTGTGAAAAGCCCTTTTGTTTGTAAGTCACATCTGCATGTCATCCGCTGCGCATGTCACTGGGGCTCCCTCGTCGGCGTAGTGCCCTCCTGACACAACAAGTTCATTTAGTGTCAAGACCTCTCACCTGCAGAGTCCGCAGAGTTTGTGTTCCTTCTCCAAACCGACTGCAGGGGATTATCTTAATGTTTCATTCACATTTCGTCAAAAGCAAAGAGGTTTTCTAGCATGCTTGGAGTTATTGTTTTTGTGCCAACGTCACACTGTTGTAGGAACATGAGCACTACAGACCTTTGACATTCACAAAATATATAAACAGTAAGTCCCAGAATAGCAGAAACGGTTGATGAATCATGACTACAGGAAAGCATAACATGTGGCAAAACAGAAATGTTGAAGAAAGATAATGGTAGTGTGTGTGTATGTGTGTTGCAATATGTGCGTGCATGGGCTTTAGATGTAGATGACACGTGTTGGGCTGAAGAACTATATTATTTTTACGGGCATAATGGCCCAAACCCAAGAAATATTGATGACATGAAGAAAAGATTTTTTGATAAAGGTGCATTTGTGAGGCGTAGGCTCATTTAGGGGTAACGACTTCACACAAGTGCATTTAATGGAATAAATGTCTGATTTTGTACCTGATAAATTTGATTATTCAATGTGTTGCATGCAGCATGTGATGGGAGTTCTGAACGTTTTCAAACTGATTTTCTTGTCAAAATCTTGAAAATATGCAACGTCTTTATGTTAAAGATGGAAAATATATATTTTAAAGGTCTATAAAAATCCATTTTAATCTATCAGAATGGCCATTCGGAAAGACCTGTACTGGCTGGACTCACTGTAAACTCCTCCACCATTTTCTATGAAGGCAAAACATAATAATATAAAGCGATAACTTCAAACATAAAATAATATTGTAGGACATAGTTAAATATATATGAGCTATAATCTCGAAATGTGCATCTTTTCCCGCTGCTGAAGGAAAGACAGTAATGTCCAGGGATGTTCATGCAGACACAAACATGACAGCAACATAAAAGACACAACAGAGATCTACAATATTACACACTACACAGCCCACAGTGATGCTCTTTGCCTAAATAACACCTCTTGTTAATTCCCTAAAGAGAATATAAATGTTTTATTTCTGCTGTAACCTTGATGGACAAGCCATTGTTTATGTTGCATGACAACTGATGAAAATGGAGCGATGAGCATCATATATTTTGGGCGTGTTTTGAAATATTTCCGCTGTAGTGCCATGTTTGGAAGCTTACGTCACAGGCAGCAATAAACCATGAATTTAACTGTTGATGACAGCGCATGCCATATTCACCAGCTGGGAAATCCAGTGTTGTCTCTGCACAATAACTTCAACACAGTGCACCTCAAGGCATTGTCTGCAGATCACTTGTTAATCTGTAACTTTCCTCTCCATCACATATCTGACTCACTGTGTTGATTATGTTGACAGTCTCTGTCGTCTCTATGTCTCTATGGGCTTATGCTACAGATGGTATGTCACTTTTATTATTACAAAAATACATATGAATACACTACAGCACTGACAATAACACAGACAAAACAGATTAAGTGTAAGAACACACCACACAAGCAAAGAAACAGGGTATTTACAGATATTGTAATCAGTTTGTGGATTAATAATGCCACCTGGTGTCCTAAGAAGAACATGTGGCATGGCACACAACCTCAAACATGTTAGAGGATAAATATGTAAAACGTGTTATAACACATATACAGTATAACATTGTGATCTCTGCTTACAATAATGAGACATTGCACATTTGTATCCATATTTAATGCCTCCAAAAGTCCATGTCCAAAATTATTCATTGATCAGGTAAATAAATGCTTATATAAAAATGACTTATTGTTATTGAAATAGTTGTAGAATAAAAGTATTTTTTATCTGTAACATATTCAATAATAAATATGGTTGTTAAAGGTGTTCAGTATCATATGTACCCACCTGCACTTGTATAATACACTTACAACTTTACTAATAACATTGTAAAACTCTGCTGATAATTAGTTTTCATAGAGACTACATATCGCTGTCACAACAAGGAAACAAGGGCAGCTTACTCTCTTCCCTCTACTGTCTGTATATTACACAACCCTTCTTTGTACAGCCAGTTTATACTGTGTTATAGCCCTTCAATTGATGAATGAATTAGCCCTCAATTCATTGCTCATTCTGATAAATGTGTGAAAAATGTCATAATCTAAAGGCTATAATCGACCTGTCTTTTCTTTTCTTCCTCTGTGCTTCTTCTCACAGTCACGCAGGACAATCAACAGTACATACAGTATCTTATATTTTGTATATTGACCCTAAAAGATGTGGCTCTTTTGAAATACTTCAGTTTTTGTAGAAAACCACAGAGAGCAAGGTCTTATATTATGTCGTTTTTCTATGCTAGAATACTACCTGACCAAATATTGGTGTGGTAATTTGATTAAACAAAAATTAACTGAGGAAAAAGTCGAAAGTAAGCGCAGAATTTGCTGTAATAATGAAGGAACCTAAAACGTTTCACACATGGACCCTCGGCACAAGGTTGCTGATCCTTGTAGTCAGGTTAAACAAAAAAATATTAATTATATATAATAATACATTCATTTTATATGTACATAAACATATGAACGTGCTGTGTAATAAAATCTAGGTCTGAAGAAAGTGATGCAGAGACACCGTGCTGCCTCTGACACTGACACTGTCACATGACAGCTCCGTCTGGGAACCAGGAAGTTAGAGGGCGGGGCTTTGCAAAGGGCTGGTGGGCTGATAAAACAAGGTAGAAGCTGTTTATGATAACGTTATATACCTCTGTCAAAATACAGATAGAGTGCATGTTGATCAAATAATTCACAGCGGTTGAGTTGATTATTACGCCTATTGTAGTCACAATATCTGTCGTTTCTTTGCGACCAGCGTAGTTGATGCTAACAGTAGCTAGCTCCCTCAAGCTAGCAGAAACGTCAGTAGCCAGCAAGCTAACAAACACATCAGTGCATTTATTTTAGGAAGGGCCTCTGGCTGCTTTAATACTGTTAGTCCAGTGCTGCAATAACCAACACCGCTAGTTGCCTTTAATAACGTGTTTTAACTCCTTCTTGTGGTGTTTTCTGGAAACTCTTGTGGAGTTAATGTCAACATCCTGTTAGCTAGTCACCGTTAGAAGACACAAAAACGCGTCTTCGCATTTAATGTGCAAACCCAGAGTGACTTTTTAAATGGCGTTGGTTACCTGATACTAGGGAAGAAAATGCTACTTAGGTTAAATGGCGTGTGAACCCAACTTGGCGTACGTGTACGCATGTTTAATGAATGCATGTCCCTTATGTTATGTTATTGCATAATGTTGTGTCACCTGCTATGTTCTGTATGGCAGCATCCACCATGACAGCCATCAAACATGCTCTCCAGAGGGACATCTTCACACCCAACGATGAGCGTCTGCTCGGCATTGTTAATGTCTGCAAGGCAGGGAAGAAAAAGAAGAACTGCTTCTTGTGTGCCACAGGTAAGAGTGTTATAACAGCAGATACAGCTGTAAAAAGCAGTTAATTAGAAACCAGAATAAACTTGTCTGTAATAATGTGCTTCTCTTCTTTCTTCCAGTTACCACGGAGAGGCCTGTCCAGGTTAAAGTAGTTAAGGTGAAGAAATCTGACAAGGGGGACTTTTACAAACGACAGCAGACGTGGGAACTCCGAGATCTGACAGAGGTAGATGCCAAAGATGCAAGCAAGGTACGAGAACTACTGTGTCATTTACTCATAACCCTGTTCAGTTGTTATAAATGTCCCCTTTCCCCTCATTCAGGGCTCATTTTCTCTTTTTACTCTCATGGTTTAGGAAAATCCTGAATTTGACCTTCACTTTGAGAAGGTGTATCGGTGGCTGGCCAGCAGCACAGCTGAAAAAAACTCCTTTATCTCATGCATTTGGAAGCTGAACCAGCGATACCTGAGGAAGAAGGTGGAGTTTGTGAATGTCAGTTCTCAGCTGCTGGAAGGTGTGGAAACGCTCTATTCTTGTTGTAGCCACCCCTGTGAGCGCATGGTTCTTTTCATGATTTGATTATATTTGGTTGAAGGCTTGTCTCTCTCTCTTAAACCAATAAGTGTGTACTGGTTATGTTTGAGGTGTCTTGATTTAGCCCAGAAGTGAGAATCTCTGCTGGATTTTATTTAATTTTATTTAATTTATTAATAGCATGTTTGAAAAAAAAAAAAAAAGTATTCAACCTCTTCTTTGTGTCTTGGTTTGTGGTATGGCTTTCTGTGTTAAATTCTCCTTTATTCTCACTTTTCTCTCTTAAACTTTCTCTGGCCAGAACTTCCTAAAGCGGAAGGTTGGTAGGACTTAACTTCCCCCTCCTCACTCCTCCCCATTGTTACTTCATGACCTCAAACTACCATTCTCATTAGAGACTCACCTCGTTCAAGCTCCTTCTGTATGAAATATGTGACACTAAATACGGATGGGCATGATTCATTTTTTTTCATTATAACACACATTTAGCTTCTTTTTTTTTTACTTCACTTTTAGCTTTTTTACTTCCACTTTAATTCATAGGATTATTTACTGACCTGTGTTTATTAATGTACTCTGTATCAAATTTGACTAAAACATGTTTTAATTGTTCCAGAGCAAAGTGTTGGACTTTACAGAGCTTTATCAGTCTTTTTATCAGCCAGAACAAATAAAGGGAAGTACATTTAGCTGATAATAGCTATTTCAGATTGTAGGTATACTTCACTGATAGAGAATGAGTAACTGGTGGTAAATAAGTACAATTTTACAGTCTATTTAAAATGTGTTTTAAGACTCTTTGGAAAATGCCATTCCCTATTAAGAAATGTCTTAAACGGGTGTATGAAACCTGATGTGAAGATACCACAGTGTGTCTTGAGCTCTGTGTTTGTTGTCATGTCTTTAACACATATTTCCATCTCTTGTTTGTGGGATTAGAGTCGGTACCGAGCGGCGAGAGTCAGAGTGTTGCCGGGGGCGATGAGGATGCGCTGGACGACTACCAGGAGCTGAGCACCCGTGAAGAGCAGGACATCGAGAGCATGATGGAGATGTGCGAGTATGCCATCTCCAATGCTGAGGCTTTCGCCGAGCAGCTCTCCAGGGAGCTGCAGGTTCTAGATGGGGTGAGTGGAGCAGCTGCTAATCTAAAAACGGAATGAAAATTATTGTTCCTAATTATGATATTAGTTTGCGTTTGGAAAGAAATATTACCTAAAACATCTAAAACAGAAACATATTGATGCCCTCTTCATTGTTTTCTACTTTAAGGCCAATATCCAGTCCATTATGGCATCGGAGAAGCAGGTCAACATCCTGATGCAGCTGCTGGATGAGGCGCTGGGTGAGGTGGACACCATCGAGGGGAAGCTGAGCAGCTATGAGGAGATGCTCCAGAGCGTCAAGGAGCAGATGGACCAGATCTCCCAGAGCAACCGCCTCATCCAGATCAGTAACACCAACAACGGCAAACTGCTGGATGAGATCCAGTTCTTAGTGGTTAGGAACACATTTCAATTCTGTGAATACTTAATGAAGGAGTATTTGTGGTTGGGGCTCTATTGATTTTTTTAGCAAACTACAGCACACAAATAGCTGGATTATTATACTTGGATTGATGACTTTGGTGTGTCCTTCCTCATGTAGAACTACATGGACCTTTCAAAGGGACACATCAGAGCCTTGCAGGAGGGAGACCTGACCTCCCCTAAAGGTATCGAGGCCTGCATCAATGCCTCTGAGGCTCTTCTGCAGTGCATGAACGTGGCCCTCCGACCAGGTTAGTCTACACGCGTACTCGTTGATCAGCTGAATCACTTGGTTCTCACTGGCGGTGGTGAGCGACTCTCAGATGCTGTGAATGTGGAAAACTCAAACGCATTTAGGGAAAAAAAGAAGTAGAATATTATCTTTGGTGTGGTTACAAACAGATTTTCTTTATACCTTCACTAGGCCACGAGAAGCTGATGGCTGTGACGCAGCAACAGCTCCTGTTTGCTGAGCTGAGAGACACCTTTGCTCGCCGCCTCACCAATCACCTCAACAACGTGTTTGTTCACCAGGTAACAGGCATGCTATTATGGCAAGCAGTATTACATGTTTGAAAACATTTAGTCTAGCATTATTCTACTTTCTAAGTTTCAGGAGTTACACTGGAATATCCTTTAAGGCTGTATTTTACTTGTTTACTGTCAGATGGTCACGTCACGTCCCTTATGTATTAAATATCTACAAAAGCATCTATAAACAGTGGAGGGAAAAATAGCATCCAACCACTAAATTACAGACTACATCTAAAGTAGTTCAAACTAGCTCCACCCAGCTACAACAGTAAACATGCTGCTGACACATTGATGCATTAGTATTAAAATTCTAATAGCAATACATTTTACTGCAGAATGAGTAATTTAACATTTTCCTTATAATTGTGTCGTCCCTCACACCTTGCCATTGTGAGTCTGCTGTGCCAGGGAGGGCTGCACTCTCTCTCCTCTCCTCTTTTCCAGGCTCTCTCTGTCCTCCCTCCTCACGGACTTCCTGTTTAGCCGTGCCTCTCTTCCTGGGCTTCCTTCTGTCGTTTCCTTTTAGTTGTGTCCCTCCTACTCTTGACTCTCTGTGTTGCTCACTTTGAATCATCCCACTCTGCTCTCTGTCTCTGTGTCAGTTCAACCACTTCAGTCACTTCAAAATGACCATCCCTCAGTTCTATAGGTCCTCCTGTCTGTCGCTTCCAGTGAGTACCCTCACAGCAACCCCCACTTGCCCCCTCTTTGCTAATGTTTGACACCTCACTCCAACTTACATGTCATTACATCAGAGACCTCAGGCCCACCATAGCCTATAATTTATTGCATGGGATATGTTTCTAACTACTTAACATCTCTCATTTGATCTCAAACCTGAAGAGGCACCGCTCATCTATCTCCTACTTCACCTGTCTGCACTCAGCTAAGGTTTTTTTGGGGGGGGGGGTTTGGGTGCTAACTTGGCTTTGTTGCAAAAAGATCTCATGTCATGAACTCCTGTGCCTGTCTGCTCTGCGTGCATGTCTTGTATCTACAAGCAGTAGGTACTGAACAAGATAACAATGAGGGGAAGTGAGGAGAACATCATTATGGCAGTAAGAGATGTGCTTGTCAATTACCTGAGCTGAAGAAGTGGTGGGATTTTGAATGGAACAATGTGGTTTCCTGGTAATTTGAGGTAACATATTCTATCCACAGATATTAGAAGATAGATATTCTTAATGCGCTGTGTGTGTTTGTGTGCATACAGAAAGATGGAATGGTTTGTCTATACTAACTCTCTTATTGAATGTGTAGCTTACTGTCTCCTCTCACTCTGTCATTAAGGGCCATGACCAGAGCTCCACCCTGTCGCAGCACACAGCTGAGCTGACCCTGCCCAAACACAACCCCCTCCACAGGGACCTGCTGCGCTACGCCAAGCTCATGGAGTGGCTGAAGAACACCCACAGGGAGAAATATGAGGGCCTATCCAGGGTCAGTGCTATTATCTAAAGAAAAAAAAGACTTAAAGTAATAGTAGAAATACACTCATTCACTTAATTATTAGATGGGGAGATTAAGACCACTGGAAAGAGCCAGGCGAGCTGTTTCCCTGTGTCTGGTCTTTATGCTAAGCTGAGCTGATTGCATAGTAGTTTGTATTTAGTATACAGACATCTGAGCAGTATTGATCTTGGCAAGAAAGCAAATAAGTATATTGTCAAAATATTGAATTATTCCTATAATAGTGATGATGTGGTGTTTTGCGTCTAAACAAATGTCATCTGCTTATCTTTTAGACTTATGTTGACTATATGAGCAGATTATATGAACGAGAAATCAAAGACTTCTTTGAGGTGGCCAAGATAAAGATGGCGGGTACAACCAAGGAGGCCAAGGGCAAGTTTGGTAAGAGCTGTGATTTACTGGCCTGCCAGAGCATAGACACAGAGCATGTTTGTCTTCTGCAGTTCATGTTATTATGTGTGATTAGGATTTTTAGTAACATCTGTTTTTGTCTTTTTCTCCCTGTATTTATGGAATTTCACAGCATCACTAGATTATTTTGTCTAGTATTTGTTTCGTACGATCGCACAGAAATTAATGGAATATTAAAGGAAACAAGACCTTGTTCTTTTACAACCTTTTCTGCATCACATATACTACCTAAAGCATATTTATTTCCCCAACTAATGTGCGCTTCCAAAGTGCTGCCTCTTGATTTACCTTTCCATTAGGTCTCTTTCACTTTGTACAAGGACTTTAAGTGTTCAATTCTCTACTCTTCTGAATATTTAAAATCCAAACAGGACTCTTGGTTGAGCTTTGGTTTTGGCAGAATTATAGAACTCTGCTTTCTGCATTCTGTATCAGCTTTTCCTGCTGAAAACAAAACCAAAAAAACAAAAGAATTTGTTTTCCAAGGTTTGTCCAAGCTACAAGCATACCTAAGCCACTGCAGTGCACGTCAGCATATATGTAACTTTGTACATCTAACATCTAGCCTCACCCCTCCCATGCTGCATGTTTTAAGCCTAACCTGTCTCTGTCTTTGATGCCTGCCTTTTTAACTGGCTGCAGCCACGCTTCCGCGGAAAGAGAGTGCTCTCAAACAGGAAACAGAAAGTAAGTAAGACATTTGGACAGAGCTATTCCACTATCAATTACCCACTCTGCTTCTTACCACTGTGCCTTACATACCTGCACTAAAAGGAATCCTTTGCTCAAATCCCTTCGCTACCCTGATACATATCACTGTAAGCTCTGCCAACCATGTTCCTCGATATGGACCTGGTTGATTTGTCTTCACAGTACAGCTGAAAGCATCATCACATAGTCTGATTCTATGATAAATGCCTAAGAAAAGCTAACCATTGATATATGTGCTATTTTAGCTGATTTGACTAAGCAATTTTTTTGAATAATGTCACAATTGACTCAGTAAATGCGTGAAATTGAATCCCGCTGTATTTGCTGTGTTAGGCCTTCATGGCAGCTCTGGGAAGCTGACAGGCTCTACCTCGAGCCTGAACAAACTGACAGTGCAGGGCTCCAACAGCCGGCGTTCCCAGTCTTCCTCACTGCTGGACATGGGCAACATGTCCGCCTCCGATCTGGACGTGGCCGATAGGACCAAGTTTGACAAGGTGACACGGCCGTAGAGACAAACAGTCAATCACACCATTAAATGTGTAACGGAAATAAAACATGTTCACATGTTGAGAGACACGTGAGAGATTAAATGGAGAGTATTTCTTTTTGCAGATATTCGAGCAGGTCCTCAGTGAGCTGGAGCCTCTGTGTCTCGCAGAACAAGACTTTATCAGCAAGTTCTTTAAGCTGCAGCAGCACCCGACGGTTACACCCCCTCTTGCTCAGGTAAGTCTGTGGTCAGATATTGGAAATAACTGTGATTTAAATAAAGAAGAATGTTACTTTACTTTACGTTAATAGCTGTGCTCATGTGTGGTGGCATCTGACATTGAAATGTCTTTCCTGAAAGCAAAATATAATGCAGCAATAAGAGACACTGACATGTTTTCAGTTACAGCATCATTCATATATGTGTCAGCGGATGTTGTGTTGGGAGTTGTCATGTTTTATGTCTCTTTTCTCATCAGCCTGAAACAGAGGAATCAGATGGAGGCACGCCGTCAAGAATCCCTCCCCAGGCTGATCACAGACACTCCTTGTCATCAGAGTGAGTAGCTGCACATCGTTGCTGCAAATATAACCCATCTTCACTGCCAGAAACATCATTCCTATTTCCTATGAATCCATCCCCTCTCCTTGTTTTGCTGTCACTGCCTTTTTTTTTTTAATTTATTTTTTTTTTTTTTACTCCTCAACTTTCTCTTTCGTGCACTTGTTTTTGTGACTCAAGGAAAGACATGGTGCGGATGATGATGAATAAAATCTTCCAGAGCATCGAGACGGAGCTCAACAGTCTCATCGCTCTGGGCGACAAGATTGACAGCTTCAACTCTCTCTACATGCTGGTGAAGATGAGTCACCATGTGTGGACAGCTGAGAACGTTGACCCGGCCTCTTACCTCAGCACTACTTTGGGAAATGTGCTGGTCACTGTCAAGAGGAACTTTGACAAATGCATTGTGAGTGGAGTCCAACTGATTCTAGTCTTTTGAAAATTCTAATTTCATGCTTGCTTTTCACAGTTTTTGTGCTGACGTTCCTAAATGATTACGGATTATGCTATGAATTTAATACGATCTGTCTTTTTCTCACAGTCTGGTCAGATCAGACAGATGGAGGAAGTGAAGATTTCAAAGAAAAGCAAAGTTGGTATCCTGCTTTTCGTTACTGGCTTTGAGGAGTTTGCTGAGTTGGCTGAAACAATATTCCGTAATGCAGAGCGCAGAGGGGACTTGGATAAAGCTTACGTCAAACTCATCAGGGCTGTCTTCATGAATGGTGAGACCACCGGTCAACCAAAAGCACCTGCATATTGGTTATAGATGATGTGGTACTTATGTGATGCCCAGAAACAAACTTCTGAATATTGCTTGTCTTTTCAGTGGAGAAAGTAGCCAATGAAAGCCAGAAGACGCCGCGGGACGTTGTGATGATGGAGAATTTCCACCACATCTTTTCCACACTGTCACGTCTAAAGATCTCCTGTCTGGACGCAGAGAGGAGAGAGGCCAAGCACAAATACACAGACCATCTGCAGTCCTATGTGATCAACTCTCTGGGCCAGCCTCTAGAAAAACTCAATGTAAGTCACAATATATCTTAGAGTTATCACGAAATGTCGCCATGTTCCTGGACATGAGTAATGATATGCAGGATGTGCATCACAGCAGTTATCTCTCTCCTGCAGCATTTCTTTGAAGGAGTCGAGGCACGTGTAGCGCAGGGTGTCCGCGAGGAGGAGGTGAGCTACCAGCTGGCCTTCAACAAACAAGAGCTGCGTAAAGTTATCAAAGAATATCCTGGCAAAGAGGTAAAAAAGGGACTGGACAACCTTTACAAGAAGGTGGACAAACATCTGTGTGAAGAAGAAAGTCTGCTACAGGTGAGAGATTTAAAGTTTAAAGGGGTGAAGCTGCTCAGCTGCTCAGTGGTGTCACATTGCTCCTCTCCTCTCTCAACCATTACACTTCCTGTTTTACTCCACCAGGTGGTGTGGCACTCCATGCAAGACGAGTTCATCCGTCAGTACAAGCACTTTGAAGATCTGATCGGCAGATGCTACCCTGGATCTGGAATCACCATGGAGTTTACCATCCAGGACATGTTGGAGTACTTCTCCAGCATTGCTCAGTCTCATTAGTCTAGCTGCTACACACCGTTTCAATAGTAATTCACTACTGGCTCACACTGATACACTAGCTACTCACAAACTACTCTGTTTTGTTTTATGGACGATGAACATTTCCTGTGTGTCTGTGTTTTCATGAAAGGGATATGTATATTGAACAGTGGTGCAGAGAGCTCTGCATTGTGTGTGTGTGTCTGTTCCTTTGATATTCAACAGCTCTGCTCTAAATACTTTATTGTTTGTTATATTTTTGTCATTTCTTTATGCCATATGTACATATTAAATTCGCAATTGCCGACCCATTCAATGCCATATCGCATCTTTGTATTTATTTTATTGCTAGACACATGAAGTTGTATATTTCTTTCTATGTTTGGGTTAAATATATCTGTGCCGAATCCGCCCTCCGCCTTCTGTACGGACAACGCCGGCTCACAAAACACGCCCCCCTGATGTTCCAGTGTCTCACTTCCATGGTGACGAATCCAAACCGAGGCCATCGGCGCTCTTTTCAAACCTCTTTACCGCGGAAACATGTTAACTCAACAGTTGTTGATTATTAAACTTGACCGGAGAACAAAATGTAAAGCCATGAGGACTATCATAATGCCATAAAGAATCTGGGGCAAGCGAGACGTTTGTGTCGCTGATGTAGAACCAGTTTAGTCAGGCTAGCTGTCCGATAATCAGTCTGTCTAAGAGCAAGGTAAGTTGAGGACAACTTGAGATTTAACGCTAGCTAACGTTAGCTAATTGGTTAACAGCAGCTAAACGGCGCTAACTAGCCGGCTAATGCTTCTTGTTATATGTCAAACGCAGGCAATGCTAGCTCAGTAGTGAACCACACATAAGGCTAACATTGGCTCATTAGCCCGTAAGCTAGCTACATAACATTAGCTAAATCAAATACTGGACTAACTGTAGGCTAGCAAGGTAGCATTGTACGTGACCCTCTTAACCCAACACAGGTCCAAACAACTGACGTTTATTTCACATTACTGTATGTATGTTGTGTCACGGTAACTTCAGTGCCACATCGCAGCCATGAACAACATCGCAGAGAGGAAATTCGTCAACTTGAGGAAGCGTCTGGATCAGCTGGGCTACCGACAGCCGCTGGGCATCGAGTCACTGCCGCTGGTGGAGAAACTGTTCAGGTGAAACCTTTAACGTTAGCCTTCAGCCCCGACTGCTCCCCTCCACCCCTTACCATCAGCCAGTGGAGGAGATGTATGTCTGACACACTTCCTCTGTGTTACAGTGACCTGGTCCACACAACAGAAAGCCTGCGCAATGCCAAACTGTCAGCAGGGAAAACTGAGAAAGAAAGTCGAAACTTTGACGCTCTCCTGGAGCCGTACAGGGCCGAGAATGCCCGGGTCATCAGGGAGAACAACGAGCTGCACCAGGAGCTTCTCAAACTGAAGGAGGACAAGGACCGTGTCACCAGAGGTAAGCTGGGTACATCATCCCACACCTTTGATCTGAACACACAAGAGACTGGTCTGATGTCTTAACGTAATCTTGTTTCAGAGCTCAAGACCCACATCAGAAAACTGGACCACGAGACATCTGACCTGAAGTTTTTAAATAATCAGTATGTGCACAAGGTTCGCTGCTTGGAGAAGGATAGCAAGGCGAAAGCTGAGCGCATCCAACAGCTGCAGGAGAAGAACATGCAAGCTGTGGTGCAAACACCAGGTAATGCCACGGGTCTGACCTTGGAATACTCACTTTGGTAGATTTTGGTTCATTGTTTTCACCTGAATCATAGAGGAAATAAATATAAACAAATATGAACTGGATGCTTCTTCCCTCTCTCGCACTTTGACAGGTGGAAAGAAGCGCAGCATCCCTTTCAGACGTCAAAGAATGCAGATTGATGAGCTCATACCTCCCTCCTCTACGTCAGCGTATCCCGTGTCGCAGCCCGATGACCCGTACATAGCTGACCTCCTGCAGCTGGCAGACGGAAGGTTTGTTTTCTTTTCTGTTGGGTGAACTGGATTATTGAGAAAGGCGGTAACTACTGCTACTGGTTGGTTCACTCTGATTTATATTTGTAGAATCCATGAGCTACAGGAAGACGTCATAAAGGTCAAACTAGACCTGGAAAATGCTGAAGAATGTATAAAACACTTAAATATACAGGTAAGAAATCTATTATGTAGAACCATATAGTACTGTGACATGTCAAATGTTATTATAGAGGTGACGAGATGTTGTTTTTTTTGTTTAGGTGGAGGAGAGGGACAAAGAGATCGAGCGCCTGAATCGGGCTCTTCAGGGAGGACGACCTCATGATGTCATTTCCCTCGAGGCTCAGAACATCAGCAACGAGAAACTGATCGCCCACCTTAACCTTCAGGTAAACATTGCAGTCATAGGATATTTACCCTGATGTATGAATACATATTTTATATATTTTTGGAGTGTGAGGTATTCAGAGATCCTTCAACAGAAAGAAGTTGAGCCCAGTTCCTCTGGAAGAGAAGTGGTCCGTACGGGTGAGTCCATCCTCCTGTGTGCTGAGCGTTAGCTGCTGCTTTGTGTTCTACAGATTGAGTACCTGCAGGAGACCAACAGGACCCTGGAGGAGAGGATCGAAGGACTGCAGCAAAAGAAGAAGGATGCCTCCACTGAGGTGGCCAATCTGTCTTTAAAGAACCTGGAACTGTGTGAAGAGCTGACGCACATAGACGATCTCGCCAAGCGGCTGGAGATGGACAAGGAGCGTGTGTTGGAAACTGCTGACATGGAGCTGCAAGAAACTAAAGTAAGAACACAAGAAAGCAAGAAGAAAGACATACAATTAAAATGTTGTACATTCACAGGCAGTGTATTTGGGTAACAAAGTGTGAACTAGTTCAGTGAAAACCAACTTCAAACTAGGAATGTCTTCCCTCAACAGATAGAAATTGAAAGGCAACAGAAAGTCATCGAAGAATTGGAGGATGTTATCACCAAAGTAAGAAGGGTATGTACAGTAAACACTCTGTTAACATAAACACATTCACATAAAACCACTCTACCTTGCCAAAAATGTTAAATCCTAATCTGTTATAAACGATTGATTTCAGGAGCAGTCTGAAGGTGACTATGAAAAAGACCGTCTCAGAGACCAACTGGTGGAGCTCAAAGAGCAGAATGAGAAAATGGAGGGACTAGTGAATTTCCTGGAGGAGGAGAAAACCAGGCTGCAGAACAAAATGGAGAAAATGATGGCAGCTGGTAGGCAGCAGTTTGGTTGAAACTTGTTCTTAAAGCGGCTTTGCATCGTTGATATCCATGTATGACTTACCCGTTGTTGTTTCCTAGACAAAGACCTGGTTCTGGAGTTGGAGACCATGCGGGCTAAACATGGTGTTTGCGGAAGGGAACGCTCCCCATCACGACTGGATGCATTTGTCAAGAGTCTAGAGGAGGAAAGGGATTACTATCGCCATGAAGCAGAGCGATACAAAAGAGCCAGAGGGTCCGGTGGCCTGGATTTAAGCCCCAGTCGTAGTCCAAGCAGGGGCAGGAGTCCCTGGTCCAGAGTAATGAGACTATTACGATTTTGATTAATAGATTTTTGGTGATCCTTTTTTGAAAACATGCAAAAAGTGTAACGGCCTCAAATTTTCAGGGCGGTGTTGCAGAGACAGAACTGCTCCGTCTAACAAAGGAAAGAGATGATCTGAGGGCTGCTCTGTTGGACTTTGAGGGACACATGGAGGACATCCAGGACAATGTGAAGGCCCTCAGCACTGAGAGAGACCATTTCAAAATGATGTTTAAACAAGTGAGTTTGAGAAACACTATTCCACCAGGTGGACACTACTTCTTTTACATTTCTGAGGATCAAATGTTTTTGTCCACTTAGGCTCAGGAAGACCTAAAGCTGGCCCGCAGCGCAGATACGTCACCTGACCTCTTGAGACTGGAGGAGGAGATCAAACAGGCAGTAGACAAAATCCAGCAGATGAGCGCTGAAAGAGACACACTGATGGAGAGATTGAAGGTTAGTGTCTTTCATGGTGTACATGACAGTACAATAGTAACTCTCCAGTACACATCCAGATCTGTAACATATCCTCTGTAATTGATTCTATCCCACACTTGTCAACATGCTGACTGTAATGACGTCATGATAAGTCCCTTACGAAGTGAATCTAGAGCTGTAACAATTACTCAAATCAAATAATCAACAACTTTCGACCAGTCATCTCACTCATTACGAAACGCCTCAAATTCAGTGTTCTGCTTATTTTATTTCCTAAATATTTTGTAGACAAAACTTTGCTTTGTCCATCAAAGCACTTTGCAAACTCAGTTTTTAAAAGGTGCTATAAAAGTAACGCTATTATTATTACCGTATTATTATGATTATTATTAAATGTGCATATCTGTGGGTTTTCTATTAGTAGTAGTAGTAGTAAATTAAATATTATTTTAAATGACTAATCAATTAATGGAAAACAAACTGCCGATTAGTTAATAATGAATCATTAGTTGCAGCGCTACTTAAATCTGTTCAGCTCAGCTCAGAAGCCACACTGACTTAATGTGAACTAGTTTTATAACTTGAAAAGGCATTGATTCTGAAACACTAATATTCAAACTTTTTGCAGCTTGCCCAGACTTCAGCTCTCACAGACAGACGGGGAGAGGAGAGGAGGACTCTCGACCTGGAGAATGCCGTTAAGAGTGTAAGCCTGATGGATAATCTAATAAAAAGGGCACAGTTATTATGTAATGGTCACTGCTTCCCTACATGGGTTCGTGTTGCTGTATCTTTACCTGGCACATTGTGTGTTTCGGTGCGTAGTTGGAGCAGGAGAGACTGGACCTGCGCTCACAGGTGTGTCTGCTGAAGGAGAACAGGGAGGCTGTGGAGGATGAGCTGAAGGTTCGGTCTGCTGCTGTGGTCCAGAATGCAGAGGAGGTCGCCCAGCAGAGGGCTGAGTGTAATGCTCTGAGGTTTGTGTTGACAAAATGTAAAATAAAAATGTAGAAAATGAATCATATGACTATGAAACAGTGATGTGTAATGTACATCTGCAGTATCCACTCACACTGCTGAGCTTTTCTTTAAGAATGGCCTCATTATTCCACTTCCAATAGGTGTTAACTGCACATTCAGAACTGGAAAGGATCAGCTGTGTTGTCAGTGTGTTAGAGGGCTGATCAATGTTTCCCTGTCTGTCTGTAGACTGCTGCAGGAGCAGATGGAGCAGTCGCTGTCTGATACCCAACACAGGCTGTCTGTGAAGATGAATGAGCTGCATGCTGCTCATGTGCAGATTGAGAATCTGGAGGAGAGAATAGGTGGATATTTATGGACTGCTACATTTTGCGTTGTATTGTTCTTTCTGTGGCTGCAGCTTGGCTGTTAACTTGATTTTCGTTTTTGTGTGACAGGGGAGCTGAGTCAGCACGGCTCCAAGCACAAGGAGGAAGTGGCTGTTCTTCAGAAGTCCATCTCTGCAATGGATAGAGAGAAAGATGCTCTGCAAGATGAGGTGGATCAAAAGACTGAAAAACTAGTTGTTCTCCAGGAGGAGAACTTTAAAAAGGTAGTCATGGCCAACGCCGTCAAAATTATAAGCTTCTGTTAAAGGATAGGTACACATTTTTTATTGTAAAAACAATATTCATATGCACATATATACACTGAAAAATGTATTTGTCTCTGTAATCATTCCTTCTTTTCATACTGGCTATGAAAAGGTCCCCACCTAAAGCAACTCCAATTTAGTAATGGGGGGGAAAAATCCACAGTCCTTTCTCTGTGCAAAAATGGATTCTTAACAAAAGTTTATATGAAGATTCAGCAGTTGTCGGTATTTTCCAAAGTCACAATAGTTTCAGTAGCCTTTTTGTTACTGTCGGGGGGGAATTTTGCACCAAAATGACACTAACTGGGAAACAAACCATTAATTGATTTAAGCATCATTTTAACTTTAAATTTAGCAATATATTTTTGCATGGAACAAAAAGAGGAGTTATTACAAAGATAAATAACTCCCTGAATGTACATATGGTAAAGTGAGTATTGAGATAGACTTGAAAAACCTTTGAAATCCTTTTAATGAGGTATGATTCTTTGGCATGAACACAGGAAAAGACCCTTGAAGATGTGAGACTCACCGTCACAAACATGGACAAGTCGCTAGCGTGAGTATTGTCAAAAATAATCTTGAAAAATCTATATCCAAAAATCCTGTCAGTATGCTGATATGGCTGTTTTCTTGTGGTGATGTCAATACGTGACCCTTGCAGTCAGCTGCAGGGGGCGTTAAACAGCCGTGAGAGGGAGATAACCAGCCTGAGGAGACAGCTGGATGCCTGTCAGGATGAACTGGCTTCACTCAGGAGAGACAAAGAAATCACAATCCGAGAGAACCGGAGGCTGCAAGATGACCTGGCTACAATGACCCGAGAGAACCAAGTATGGAATGAATCTTACTGTCATCATTCAGCTTTTGTGTCATACACCAAGGAAATGGAGGAAATGATGAAGAAATAAACTCCTGTTGTGTTTCAACCGTCTGTGTGTGCAGGCTATACATGTGGAGATGGAGGAGGCTCTGCATGAGAAGGATGAGCTGAAGTTGAGGGTCCACTCTTACATTTCTGAAGTGTCCAGAATAGAGAAACTTATGGCCACAAAGGCGAGAGAGAACTTTATCCTCCTACAGATGTTTAAGTCTCTATACTGTCTTTCTGATGCTTTGGCCTGGGAACATCTTCTTATCAGCTGCCTGGACATCCTGTAACCCCTCTCCTGTCTCATGCCGGCCCACAGGAGCAGGAGAACCGGGACTTGCTGGATCGTTTCAGGATGGCCCACTCCGAGGTGGAGGAGCGGGAGCAGAAGTTGCAGCAGGCTGAAGGCCTCAACACATCCATCCGCCTGGAGCTGCTCTCTTCAGACACAGAGCGCAGACACCTCCGTGATACTGTCAGCCACCAGGAGAGAGAAATCCAACAGGTGAGACACTGGGGTACATCCACATTATGGGGAAATATGCATGTCCAAGTAGTATGCTGCTATAATGTGAGATTATTCAGGACACTAAAGCCTTCAGAGGTCTTATTCCTTACACGAGCGTGCCATTTATGTACCTTTCACCCTGCTGTTTCCTAAGCATATGCAGGCCCTGCAGGCTTATGAGGCCCAAGTGTCCTCGCTGGTTCGTGGGATGTCCCGACTAGAGGAGGAGCTAAACAAAGCCCAGGAGGACAAGGCCACTCTCCTCTCAGATCTGGCATCTGTCAGGGAGCTCTGTGTCAAACTGGACTCTAGCAAGGAGCTCACTGCACGTCAGCTCACCTCCAGGAGCATGGATCTAGAGAGGGTGAGGCTTAAACACACTTTAGGTTATACATGTATGTGAGCAGTAGCACTTATCTATCGTTGGATATTTCTGGTTTCTTTTAATACATTTGCACTTAGGTCACAGGAGAACTGGAGGATGTTCGGTCAGAAGCAGAGCTACTTAAGAAACAACTGGCCAGCGAGAGGCTGACTGTCCGCAACCTTGAGACCTTACTCTCCAGCAATCGGCACAAGGAGTTTCAAACCCACCTGACAGCCAGTGAGAGAGAGTCGGAGTTAAAGGTCCTTCGTGATAGGCTGACCCTGGCTGACAGCAAAACGTAAACAAATCCAATTCAATATGTTCAAATAGAGTAATAAAATGCCTTTTTACCCTCAGATAGGTGCTCATGATTTGTGTGTGTATGTGTGAATGCACCCAGTGCAGAGCATGCCAGGGAGGTGTCCCAGCTCCGCGGCAAAGTCTCTCAGCTGCAGACGGAGATGGACATCTTGAAAAGACAGCTGACCTCTGAACGCTTTGAACGGTGAGCCGAACAACTTCTGTCTTTACACTGACTTTTCAACTCTTAGCCCAGGACAGAAATCACTGCAAGTTTGTCACAAATGAGTTCTGTCAGTATTAATACTCAGCTAGTATATTCTGTAGGTTTGTGATCACAGTAGTTGATGCAACGACACAAGAAACAGATCAGATAGATTACTTCCCCGTATCAGTCTCTCCAGGATTTTGCAGGCTTTTATTTCTGAGACTGTTGTGGTCTAAAATTCCTGATTTCACAGCAGCTTGATTTAGAAAAAAAATAGCAATGCATGTTTGCAATGTTTTAAGACATTTTTTTCAATTACATTACTGGATAAAGTGAAAATTGCCAAAATAGATGTGATTTTTATTTATTTATTTATAATTAATCAAAGGAAACTTGTTCCAGTGAGAATAAAATCACAGTTTGGACGGGATAAATGTAAGGCACCACATGTCTGCACATTCAACACTAGAAACAAAAAGATATATAATACAATAATGAGAAAAGGTGGATGACAACTGACTCAATGTTTTGTGCTGGAAATGATAATTGGTCAAATGGAAAAGGTGCAGTGATTGGACAAAACTTAAAGGTTGTGCAGAATTGGTTAAATTTGTATAATTGTTGTAATGGCAACTTCCAAGAGGGCCGTATGAAGCTAGTTTTTCACTTGACATTCTTAACATTTGATCTTTTGAAGTAGCATATTATCAGGACGTACAGAAAATGTCCCAGTGTAATACGGACCAGCAGCTGGAAGGTGAACAATTCCTTCAGGCACAAAAAAATGCAATTTGACCTTGTTTAAATGTTTGTGTCGTCAGTGAGAGGGCAGTGCAGGAGATGCGCAGGCAGGGGGTGTCGTTCTCGTCCATGCAGAGTTCGTTGCCCCTCAGCGTCTCCCCAGAACGCTCCATCCTCCGATCTCTTAACCGCTCCTCTGACAGGTCAGCAGACAGGTACGATTTTTTTACACTAAAATGATAACGCTGTTTTTAGGGCTAATTATTTTTGGTGCTTTTAAATCGAGAAGATTTTGAATAAAAACAAATAACCCGTTTTTAAAACAAAATCCTTATTTCTCCAAAAACTCTCTTCTTTCTTTTTTCAGAAGTGTCAGCTTCAAGGATTAACGGATAAATGAAGGCATTGATGAGGGAGTCAGAGACCACGAGAAGCGTGTGCTCGAAGTCTTGAGTCTGGACGTGAATTGTGAAAACCTGCAGAAGTCTTGGCATTAATTAGCCTGCAGGTTACATCCAGCCTGAGGCACTCAGACTAAAGCTAATAACTAACATTCGACCAGTTGTCCTCTTTTCTATCCAAATAGCCAACTTCTCACTGACTCCACTTACAGAACTGGTTTCCTCTCGGTCAGTACATTACACAGATAAAATTAGGATTCAGCTTTGACAATGAGTTTCTGAAATTAATTTGGTTCTCAACAACTATAACCTCATACATGTAGCAAGAGAAGTGTTCATTCAGCCCGTGGTTATGTGTATTATGCCTAATATTGTGTTATATTATGTTTTTTAAATGATGTTTAAATTATTAAATTATTCATAAAATAAAGTCATACAAAATGACCTTGCATTGACTAACATCACAAAACTTTGACTTGTTTTATTACAAAGTAAATAGGCCAAAGTTATTGGAACAATGGGAAGGAGAGGCTGTGACATACAACAAAAAACAGAAGCTTGATTTAAAACCCACAACTCTGAGTACATGGTATGTGTTTTAGCCTGCTAAACCACCGAAGCCATTAACCCTTTAGCTTCTGCAATGTGTAGATAAAGAAGCAAGCAAAATACTAAATTTGGTCTTCCAACCGTATTTCCATTTCTGTATACTGTAACAGTGCATGACAGGAACATGTTGTAACTGGTGAAGTGATTTACATGATTTTTTTTTTCTGCAGCTGATTTCAAGCTTTAGTGGTTTTGAAGTCAAGTCTCCATCTCCAATAATCAGCATTTTGCGATAATTTTCTCAAGTAAAAATGTGTAACAGCTTTCAAAACACTGTTTGTTCCCTAGGAATAAAAAATAGTACAAATCATTCTCTATAAAAAATAATCTCAGAACTATAAAACATGGCACATCTAATGCCGGCAGTGCTCAGTGGTTGTGTTGGGGAGAGGATACGTGAAGAGGGAAAAGTCTAAAATGTATTTGGGCAGGAGTTCCCTCAGTAGCTTCTGTGGTAAGCGGCACAGATAATAGTGCAACGTCTCCGTGGTGACCGGCTTGTACCACGTTTGCCTCTCTGGGAAGTGAACAGAGGGGGGCGCTCCAATGCGCTCCAGCACAAACTCCGCGTCACTTTCAAGGTGCTCATAGGAGCCGATGAAGTCGTAGTTCATCGCACAGGGCTGGCATAAGTTGTACACCGGCATCCAGTGCTCATTCATGCGCTCCACGTCCTCATCCAGCAAGTAATGGACGAACTCCGCAAAGGTCACATCGTCTCCTGTTACAGACGCGTCCTTAGCGCGACCCTTTCTGTATCGCTTTACGATCTCCACGCCGTACTTTTTCTGGTAGGACTGAATCTCGCCAAACTTGTTCCTGTATGCAGACAGCAGGCGCTCCATGGGCTCCCGCACAAACATGAACTTGAAGTAGTGCTTGAGGCGGTAACGGATCTCCTCGGGTTTAAGAGAGGACAAAAACAGCAGGTCGCTGTGGTGGTTCATCTTGATGTTGGCATCCACGCTCTCCAGAGCTCCGCTCAGAACCTTCAGGACCCTCTTCCAGTTGGAGCAGGCCACTTTGGGGACGTAGCAGTAGAGGAAGTGGTACTGGTCATTCACCAGGACGTGCTGCAGCAGCGTCTTCCTCTGCAGGGGGCTCAGGGACCAGATGCTGTGGGGCATGTTCTTCTGGCTGCACATGGTCCTGATGGTCCGGTTGCGGATCTCCTGGAGGATCTAGATGTGAAGGCAAATCAGTGGCTTACTTAAAGGTGCATTCCACCAACTGGACACACAAACATCAGTTTTTACTAGTCAAACCCAATCCTGGCTCAAGATAAGGGTGTTTGTGTTTTTCATGTGTAACTTTGTCCTTCACCCTCCTCTTCCTCCTTTGAATGAATTGCAGGACCTTTTAAAAGCCGTGGGTTTTTACCAGGCAGAGAAGGTCTGATTAAAAGACTATCAAGTTGCATTATGGGAAAACGGACTTGTACTTGGGACTAAAAGTATGGATATCTCAGTTGCTTCAGTTTTGACTGTTCATTTTTGGGGGGTGGGGGATATTCAGGGTAACTATAAGACAGGACAGCTTGAGAGATGGATAGGAAGGCGGGGGGAGAGGATGATGCGGCAGCAAAGGTCAAAGGTCAAAATTGAACCCATGTCCCTGCAGCAAAGAATAAGGCTTGGTACATGGGGCACCAGCTCTACCAGGGCACCCCAGTGTAGACCCCTGTATCTTTAAACTGTCTTTACAACTTTATTTAAGTCCAATATTAAATCGCTGCAGTGCCCCTTTAAAGTGAGCAGTGAGTACACAATATATACACTTATTTTGCATTACAATGCACATATATGGCTTTTCCATGACAACAATAACAAAGCAGAAGTTTTGAGGAAATACGTTTTGATTGTTGGGGGTGTTTCCCTTTTATCACCAACTTAAAGCCAGTCTTTACCCACTGCATGCATCACTAACGAAATGGCTGTAGAGCCTTTACTCCTACAGTTTATGACACATCTTGTATTATTGTGAAATATACATAGTCACGGGACACACACTGCACCTCTTCTCTGGGTAAAACGCACCCATAAAACTCCAGCAGAACTTCATGGCCCATTACAGTACTTTACCTGGGACTCCACGTCCACAGCAGCCGGGCTGTGCCTCCCGACCTGCCTGATGAAGTCCAGCCGCCGGCCGCTCCCCCGCGGTGGAGGCGTCTCCATGCTGTTCAGCATTCCTTTCTCTATCATGAGCAGCAGGCCTCCGGACGCGACGATCACCAGAAACGTTAGCAGCGACGGCAGCACCGCGGAGCTGCGGCGGCCAGAGCCCGAGTTCACCGTTGTCCTGAAGTTTATAACCGAGCCGCTACGCGCTCCCCCAGTCCGTTTCATCCCGTAGTCCTGCCTGCGAGGAAGCATACTTTTTGCTCTGCTTTGTCTGTTCAATACCTGTTCGCTTTTTTTAAAGTTCACAGCTCAGTAACGTTACTACGTAAGAAGAGACCGTTGGTTACCTACCACGTACCCATAGTTAACTGCTGAGGTGCGTCAAGGCTGCGGCCGTTAATACAGCCATTTCCGTATGAACTGTCAAAATAAAACTTTTGACGAACAAATGGAAAGTTAGGACCAAAGAAAAATCTTTTCATTAAAGAATTACTCTGAAGAATATGAAATATAACTGCTCCGTATAAAGGTTACCTCTCACAGGATTATTGTCAACGGAGAAAACTAATGTAATCTAAAATAATAAAAACACATCCGGTTTTCAAAATAAAATCATCCCCAAGCATTCTAAGAGCTAAATGCAGCATAAACAACTCTTATGAGTGATATATTGGGAACATTTTATCTCGTACTTTAATGTGTGTTTGAGCTGTGTGCTTTAACAACAGGGACATGCAGGAACATGCTTGTCCTCAGCACCTCCTCATAGGAGAACCTGAAGTGCCCCCATGCCAGCTGGGAGATGTAGTGCAGCTAGTGTATTGTGGGTTTGGGTCTCAGCGTTTGGCCATAGTTTTAGGGGACCCTCAAAGATTACTTGGTCCTTACTTTCAAAGTTTTTTTTTAAAAATAAAGCCTTTTACTTTCCTTGACTGAAAAGGTTTATTTTGGATGTTTTTGAGCTTTCTAGCTTTATCCTTATCTTTATTTATTTATATTTTAAAAAGTACTTTATTTTTGTGTGAGTTTTATGCACCCACGGACCAAGGCAAATTCCTTGTACATGTGAAAACTTACTTGGCAATAAACCCGACTCTGATTATACAGGTTCAGTTTACAATAATGTTCTCCAATACTCACTGATGGGCGTATTGGAAGTCTTCACAGTTAAAGACAGACAGCACTTTCATTTGTTAAAGGTATACAGTGAAGTAAGATCATTTTGATGTAATGTCATTCAAAGCCACATCACCAGACTGTATGGAGGAGCAGAAGCTTGATTCAGTCCCATCCACCCATCAATCCAGTCAGTGATGAGCTCACATCACCATTTCCCACAACAGGCTGATTCAAAACCTAATTAGTGCAATCGCTGCTTGTAATCACAGCTACATCTCGCATCTTCCCACTCTGTTAAGATGCTAAGATATCCAAACCTCTGCACCTTTTTCTGTTAAGGCCTACACAATATTGTCTCTCTTCCATGATAATACACACTACACAGGAAATACAATTTGTTTACCAAAAGTACTTGAATTACTATGAATGGAAATAGGCCTGAAAATGTTAGAAGCCAAGTATCAATATAGATCTAGGTTGTATAAACTTCACAGCATAGCTGGTGCTAGCTAATTACACAAGCTACATTGGGGTTAGCCTCAGTTTGGAAAGCCTATTACTGTAAACCTGAAAAAAATGTCAGATTCTGATATTAATCCTTTGCACACTTCCTGGAATACTTGGTTCATCTACATTAGCAAGTAATCTGTTAGAACCCATGCTCTAAACATTGGCATGTGTTAAAATGGTCTCTTCGGAGTTGAAAGGGCTATTTTATGCGTTCATGTTTTGCCTGTTCTGGGTTAAAACATAAATCTTAGTTCATGCTTTGAAACTTAGCAGCTTTCAGGTTTGGAGATGATCCCCAATATATTGATATAGTCTGATCTTTAGAACCCATTATGTCTTTACCTTTATTCAGCTCTTCAAATCCATCGATTACATGAATTATTGAATGCTCACTATTTCCCCAATTCAGTGATTAACTGTGAAAGTAATCAATCAAACAATGAAATGTCTGCGACCAACAGTCCAAAACCCCCCAGAGATATTCAGTTTATAGGGATACAAAGCAGAGAGAGGATGGCAGAAATGTTGATTTAATCACAATCACATATAGGCCTATCAATATTTTGGGCAATAAGCCATCAAATGAACATATTCTAAAAATATTAAATTATTGTAAAGCAGTGAGTATAAGAGTATAAATATCTAAAGGTGGCATTAGAAATAATAATAAAAGTTAATAATAAAGTTTTTTCATTGAACTTGAGTCTAAAATGTAGCCATGTCGCATTAATGTGTTTATTCCGTTCTAATCTAAATGAATGTGTTAAACGTGACTTTTGACACTAAACTGGGGGTGGCCAGGCATGAAAAGCAGCACATTCTCACACATGATAAACAGAATATAGCTTATTTACTTATACTTGATCATTTAAACAAATGAACTCTTAATGTGCTCTGCAAAGAAACTGGACCGTGCCCTGAGGTGGTGAGCCATGGCCTGTGTGTGGGGACATATTCTCTCCTGTGCATCCATCCTGTTATTGTTCTATTAGCGGACACAGTGTCGCTGCACATCATAAATACGGCACAGTGATGGTTATAAATAGGCTGTACATTAGGTCACTACAGTAAACCACACACATCCCTGAAGGATTAACACCTTAACGACTGCACGGTGTTTTTCTTCCTCGGGGCGGTCACAGCGTTTCCATTCAGCTCCTCGCTTCTCTAATTACTTCCGAAAAGCACGCGCTTACGTCCCCCGGTAACGTGGTCGCACCGTGCTCTCCCAGTGTTGGCGCTGCACCGTACGCCGCCGCCGCCGCCGCTCGGTGCTCGGTGCTCGCCTTTTCTCTCGCAGCCACACCCTCCCATCTCCAGCTCGCACGCGTGCAGCTGTGCGGGACGGACGGTGCGTGCGTCTCCCTGTCGGGCACCCGCAGCATCAGCAACACAAAAGGGGTCGGAGCAGTCGGAGCCGGGTTTACCTCAGCAGCTGATCACAAGGAGGAACCGCGTCCGGGGGGAGAAATAGAAGGTGCTCTCCTCTTTTCTTCCATTTGGGTTGTGTTTCTGTTGACTGTTTGCCATTTTCACGACGTTGATGACCTTGTCACTGTATCACATCTCTCATTTCTCATTGACCTGCTCAGATCTTCTGCTCCATCCTTCGCAGATGTGTGTGTGTGTGCGCGCGCTGTAAATGGGCTGGGACTTGCAATTTGATCGGGCTTGAAATGCGCAAACGCCGATGTCAACATGCCAAATTGTAATCAATCGTTATTCTTTTTTTCTTTTTTTCAAATCCAAAATGATGCTGATCAATCTAACGCCATTTGGGTTTCATGTCTGACAATATGTAAGAGAAGCAGAGGCCAGATTCTTTGTTCTCCGTGCGCCTTTTTAGTCTGCAATTAATAAACTGTAATCCCTGTGCGGCAGCATACGCTAATCTGCCATTAACGGTTACATATTGATCCGTGTCTTTAGGTCTACGTTGATGTAGTCTTTCACCACAGCCATCTCTCTCCAACCCGTACACAATACAGCCTTCGAAATGTCAGGATCCTTGAGTCAGCTGGAAAACCACGCACAGGCCATATGCTGCGGGCCTATGTGCAAAAAATAAAACCAAATGAAACGATGTATTTCTCCACGCGCCGTTTACAGGCTTTTAAATCAATGCTGCATTACTGTCACCGACAGTAGCCTATGTGTGTGTGCTGAGACACCGAGGCAGGGAGAATAGATGGCAGGTTGCCAGACATGAATTCATAGGCTTCATGGTGCTGGCTTTATGGTGGTGGTTTGAGTTAACTGGTCTTGTTTTTTGGTTGGCTGCTCCAGCACATGATTGACAGGCAAGTGTGTGCTGTCTTATGTGTGAACTGTAAATAGTAGCTATATGGACTGAATGATGACATATTAAGACACAGAGCTGTGCTGTGTGCCACTCAGGTCTGTGTTTTGCAGAAGAGCTCTCAGGGTAAAGACTTCATCTCATATCACTGATTGAAGAGCAGTTTTCAGTTTGCATCCAACCTGAAGGTTTGGATTCTCACATGCACCGAGCTGCACAGTAAACAATGATCTGACTAAGCTATCCTGTCATCACCACCCAAATGGTGACTAGTGAACATCTTTTCAGAGACATCTGTGGAGTGTCCGAGCTCTGCCAGACAGCATCCATTTTATTTGAGTCACTTATCACCCTTTAACCTCAGATAAAACTGCAACTATGGATTTGACTCACTGTAAGGCAGACAAAGATAGTCTGACTCGTTTTTTTTTTCTGCACGATTAAATGTCAATTGATTTGCAGTCACACATTTAACAAACAGAACTGAAAACACCCATCTTGTTAGAAATAAAGGACCGGCGGTCAAAATTAGAAGCATTAGCCTATCACTGTTATGTGCTTCTGTGCAAAAAGTATAAGTGCTCATTCTGGGATGTAGTAGCCTAATTTAAAGTGTTATCTTTTCTTCTGGGTGGAGTTTGTAGAGCATCACATGTCATGACCAAACTGCATGTTATTTTTAGAAAATAACACCTATAGCTGTGGTGAAGTCAATGCTCAGATTTAAAGTGTTACATTCTTCTCATAAAATAGTTTTTGTTAGGCATCATCAATATGTACAGTATGTATATGTACTATTCTACAGATATCAGAGTTGGCCTTATCTAAAGTACAAAACTGTAATTACAGTCTACCACTTCATTTCTTATGAGGTCTGTCCCAGTTATTCAGTGTGGAGCAAGTTATCATCGACTCTTTTAAAAAGTGGTCCCTAGATAAGGTTATACATGCTTATGTAACACATCTCTGCTTGTAATAATATACTACACAGTATGTATTCTATGACTGCTACTGATATCAAGGTTTATTTTAATGACATGTTTGAGGCATTTAGGTCAGCACAGGAATTTCAGTGTAAAACACAACAACAAGAAACTGCAGCAGGCTGTAGATTGAGTGATGAAGCCACTAAGACTGGGTAGTTTGTCTATTTTATGTCACTGCAGAATGAAAATAATTCACGTCTGACCATGAAATTTGTTTACATTCAGTTTTTTGTTCCTTTCCCCCACCAGTCCATCCTAATCATCCTTTATCCTCTGAAACATCATTAACATTGTTTATTCTTGTTCGTATATCATGAAAGTTTGATTTGTATGGTATA